CATAAAATCTATAAATGAATGAAAATTACAATATCCCTGGGGTTTTGTAAAAAACATTTAAGAAGAGGGCATTCTTGGAGGGAATGGAAAACCTAGATGCTAACAGGAAGCTCCTTGCTCCCAAGCCTCCCCCATTGCCTAGGCCCCAGAAATATAATAGCCCCTGTGCTTTCCACAACCCACGTTATCACTGTAGACCAATGCCATGCATGTAGTATGTGTGTTTGGGATGGCACGGAGTTCTCTTTCTGATTCTCTCCCACATGAATGGACAGCGGTGCCCTCAGTGTGACTGAGGTCAGATGCAGGATAACTGATTTGAGGGCATTCTTCTGGAGCTTGAGTACCAGCTACATAGGGATGGGAGGCTCATGTCTGCTACTAAAAGATATTGCTCACAAATACTCCAACGTCTTCTGCAAGGTTTGGCAGATCCAGCTCTGGCATTCAGCAGTCACCAGAGACAGCAAAGATTAGGTTGAGAATCTGTGAGGGATTTGAAAATGCTGGGTCCAAATCTCGGACAACTAGGAAGAGGGAAAATAATGACTGATGACAAGTAATGGAAACCTTATTATGTCCACCCATTTTGGGAATCTGGACACGACCAGAGAGAAGTAACGGCTGGGCAGAAGAATCTCCACAGGAAATTCCTGACTACGGACAAGGTCTGTGGATCCTAGATAACCCTGTCCATGATGTAATGCTTTTCACTAGTTTTGAGATTTTATCTGGAAATTGATGAGATGTTCTGCATCTTGGAAGCCCCAGGAATGAAGTAGAGAAGATCCCAGTCTTCTCAGAAACTGAAAAGAGAAAGTCTGATCCCATCATCTTCTTTGTGATAATACCAATCCCAAACTCACTGTCATTAGGGAGATTCTGAATCACAGCGACTCTGTAAGGCAGGGTATATTTTCATGTTGAAAAACACACTCAGCCAAACGAAACGTGTAACATGTTAGCAACACCACTCTTTCTGAGAAAGAAAGACAGGAGATGCATGAAAGTGAAAGGGGCTTGCTTTACTTGGATCAAGCAAGGACTGAGCCAGAAGATTCCCCAAAGAAATCTCCTGAAACAGAAATGGTGGGAGTGGTTTACAGATTTAGCCAAGGAAACCAATAAGTAAATGTAAAGGATTATGGATGTGAAACAGATTTCACAGCGACCAGGGATGGTCATGAATATGCTTTACGTTGGGGTTATGATTCTTTTAAAAAAATCATTTTATTGGAGTCTCATACAACTCTTAGCACAAGCCATCCATCTATCCATCCATCCATCCATCCATTGTGTCAAGCATATTTGTACATTTGTTGTCATCATCATTCTCAAAACATTTTCTTTCTATTTGAGTCCTTAGTATCAACTGCTCGTTGTTCTCCTCTCTCCTCACCTGGCGTCATGATTCTTAACAAGATAGGAGTCTTTGTACTTCTTGGTTCCAAATGTCTTTTTATTTGGTGTGATGATGTCTTTATGGTGACTTGGTTCCTTGAACAAAGTCCTTCCGTTCCAAGTGATCTGTGACCTGAAGGTTGGGAATGTCTATTCTGGACATGTTTGCCTGATCACTTTTGGTCAAATGGATACTCGTTTGGTGTAATGGGATATTTTCCTGTGAGGAAAGGGCTCAAGATAGACAGGGTATCAGGAAACAAAATGCAGAATAACTATAGGCAATAAATGGGGTATTCCAACATCCTGTAGCCATCTTATATCCTAAGGGGAGGTTCCTTGGACAAGCTGTGGAATTTACATTGTTACACAAAGTTAAGCAGGTTGGGGCCTGACCTCAAAGAGAATGTCCAATGTTCATAATTGTTCTTACACTGTACTAAGAATCTCTTTAGCTATCATATTCACAACAAATATAATCTTGCCACAAAAATTAGTTATGGAAGATAACTTTTTCAATCCCTGGATATTTACTACATTTTGCTCATATAAATGGTAAGTTTCTTGTTATTTATTGTTTGTTTTCCTTCTTTTTAGGCACTTGATAGTCATTTGTAGACATCAATGGTCAAGAAATGTACATATTATTTACTTTTCTGTTCCTTCTTCCAAAGACAAACAAGAGCTTTGGTTAAAAATTAATGAGTTCATTGAGGGAAGAAAGCACTCTAGGAATGGACAATAATAATTGTAAGGAATCACCAAGTCCCACAATGAAAGACAATTTTCAGAGTTTAAATACAGGAGGATCCTGAAAATTAAAAGAAAATTCCAATCCTTTGAACTTTACTACATTTGGCTCAAACAGACAAGGCAATATCAAGGCCACTATATAACGACTGAGTCATGTAACACCTTTTGTTTTGCTTTGATTTGAGCTATTGGGAGAAAGAGTGAATGCTTTTCCTGGCAGCCTGTTGTGAGCGGAGCTGGGAGGAAGGTGGGTGTCTGGAGTCTTCAGGAAGTATGCTGAGTTTTAAAGTCAGTGAAAATAAACAGGAATCATAAACAACAACAGAACTGGACTACGGCCTGCATCATTTGGTCTTCTTTACATTGAATCATAATACATGATGACCTCTGCAATCCTTGATCATCAGCAGCAAGGGTTTCAAGTCCTCACTTTCAGCAGCAAGAGTGTATTATCTTCACATCACAGGTTGTTAAGAAACCTTTCTCCAGGCCTGATGCCATGTTCTTCCTCATGTGTACCTGAATGGTATAAGCTCTGGGATCCATGAGCTGTTGGCTAATGCCACAGGGCCACCACTTTGCAGGAGACACGGTGTTTCTACAAAGCTGTTTCTTGAATCAAGTTGAATGCAGCCTACTGAATCAAGTTAGAAAGCAAGCAAAGATCATGGCTACTTATAAGGAAGAAGTTCTAGTAATATTGGGAATGGCCTAGGTGAGGAAAAGGCTACGAAATTTGAGCTGGGGAATTTTTTTTCTATTAGGACAATGCACCTGCTCATTCTTCAAGGGAAGCAAGGGCTGAACGCTGAGAATTTCATGAAGAAACCTTACTCATCTTCTCTATAGACCTGTGGTTAATCAGTAGTTACACAGCGGGCCACTCCAGAGAAACCCAATCCAGTAAGAGGCATCAGTGCCCCCACGTGGGGAGATGCCTCCCTGTCGTGTCAGTGGCCTGTGTTCTTGTTCTCACTCTCTAGGAGACAGCAGACACTGTGTCCTCTGGTGCTGAACTGAGAGGTGCCTCTGAGACTCCTGCTCTGCAGCTGCATCAGGCTGAGGGATTTTGCCCCTCTCAGGAAGGGTTTCTCTCACTGTGTCTCTTGCACAGTAATACATGGCCATGTCTGAGTCCTTCAGGCTGCTCCACTGCAGGTACACGGTGCTGATGGAGTTGTCTTTGGAGATAGTGACTTTTCCTTGGAAGGATGGGTTGTACCTGGGATCAGAGTCACCGGGATAAAACATTCCTATCCATTCCAAGCCCTTTCCAGGGATCTGCTTAATCCAGTGGATCCAGTTCTTAGTAAAGCTGTACCCAGATGTCTTACAGGAGATCCTCAAAGACTCCCCAGGTCTCTTCACCTCTGCCCCAGACTGCACCAGCTGCACCTGAGCACAGACACCTGTGGAGATAGGATTCAGAGATGAGAGACTCCCTCTTCACACGCACACCCCTCCATTCATCTCAAACCCTGTGGCGATCCTGACCTGGAAGAAGGACAAGGAGGAGAGCTAGGGTGGCAGAGCCCATCTTGCAAAGAGAATGGAAAGGAATCACACTTGGGTCCCCAGATGGGTGATGAGGGAGCTTCCCCTGTGGAGGTAGTCTGTGGGTCTAAAATGGATGTCTTCCACTTTGCATATTTCTGCCCTGCCCTCCATGTCAGACTCCTCCAGCCTTATAACCCTGGAAAACCAAGGCAGGGGGAGGAGCTGGTCTTGGGACTGCTGGGAGGGACAGAACCTGATCCTAGTAACATCACACACACAGACACACACACACACACAGGCACCTTGACCCCAGACTGTATTGAACTGTGGCTTTACACTCAGTGCATCTCTCAGTCCACACCTGGGGGAGCATGTTTGAAACCCAGTGTGAGGCTGCAGCCCAAGGAGCCTCGGCCCCTCACAGAAATCCCTCCTTACTGTCTGCGGAGAATTATGTGCAGGATAGAAAGTACCTCTGTCTCCTCAGTGAAGACTTTGAAGAAGCTGATCTCCCGATGGCCCCTTCTCAATAGACCTTCAGGTGTCTCCTGGGTTACAGGTGTGCCCTGTGCTTCCTGCTGCCCGAGGAGAGGAAACAAATTTCAGGGAAGCTTTACTCAGCAATGTCAGACAAATCTGGGCAGATTAAAGACAAAGATGAGTGTATAACTTTCTGAATACTCATGCTAAACTTGTTACCGTCTCTTTGGCAGTGTAGCTCTGTTCAGAAGAGAAGTTAAAAATCCAACATGGAGAATATTTCAAATTCATCGGTTTTAAAATCTGTCCCTAAACATTTATCTGATCTATCCTGATATAAAATAAAGAAAACACTGTGGTAATGTGTGTTTTTTTTCCTTTTCTTCTCTCTGTGGAGGGCTTGGAGTCCAGGGACACCAAGAACCATTGACATAACGTCCACACAGACTGTGCTCTATTCTGGGTTTTGAGAGCAGTGACTGGGGGTCTTTAAACCACACGAGGCGCAGCTGTTTGTTTCTCCCTTTCTAGAGCGATGATAATTGAAGACACGTGGAAACCATTAGTCCAATGCTGTAAGGAAACAGAGATCTGAGTCTCCAGCACTCTAAGACCAGAAGAAATAGATTGTGCCCTGTTATCACTGCCAAGTTCTTTGGAAAGGATAACATTAGAAGGTCTTGGGTGGAGTGGGAAAAAGTGAAACAAAATATTAAAAAAAGAAAAAGAATAGGCTTATTCATTGGACAGGCTTTTGGAAGCCCTGAGACTATGCCTCATAGACGAACTTCAAGTTGGGGCCTGGACTCACCCCTTGAAAAAACTTCCAGTCAAACAATAGACAAGTCTACAAGGGAACAATAGTCCTGGGGAGATACAATTACCTTAGGATAATGAAACTTCTGAGATCAAAAGGGCAGCATTTATCCAGGGAGAAAGTTGAGAATGTTTGGAAAGAAAAAGTAATTTTAGCAGGAGAAACAGAGTGCAGGACTTTGGTTAAGAGATGTTTCCTTGTGTGTATTGCAGTCAGTGACATGAAACAAAAGTATATGAATTGTTGAATAGACACTAATGTTCTCGGTAAACATTTACCCAATCTACAAGAAAAAGTAAAGAGAGACAAAGTTCTCCTCTGATGGGGAGAGAGCACCTCAGGTTGTGGCTTGTGCACTCTGGGTCTCCCAAGAAACAAGCAAGGACCCAGAGAATATGTCCTAGTTCCATGCCTCTTTCTCCTCCCTCTGTTCTCTGTGATTGACAGTTATGCTAAAAACATCTAGATCTTGAGTGTCAGAGACAGGGAGAGGGCTCAAAACATGAGGGAGGGAAACTGGGATAGGGGAGGCCCCAGACTCTGCTGGGAAAACTTTATGTCCCTCCCCATGCCCTGACTCTTGAATCTGGGTCATGCACTGTTTGTCCTGAGACCCTGTGCCACCGATCCCAACCTTCCCTTCGTGGTGGTTACAATCTGGTCTCACATAGCTTCCCTTACCACTTTTGTCTGTATCACCACATGCATCAAATAAGGCATATACAGTGAACCCTCGTTTATCGCGGTTAATCGGTTCTAGACCCTACCGTG